GTCAGTGTTTTTGCGCAAAATCAAGCGGCCGGTGTAGACAGCTGGCAAGTTTTCGCGCAAAAGCGTGTGCTTTTGCGGAAAAACTTGCCAGTCTAGCTGCAGCCATAGAGTTTCCTGCCAGCAGTGATGTCCTGCATCCGGAATAGTTTTTAGTATGAGAGTAATTTCTGCATTATTATGCTGAACTTCAACATGTATTTTTTTTCTCCTGTCTGTGCAATATACTGTGAATGTAACATAGGATGGATTAACAATTTTCTTATCATAGTCATATTCATAGCTAAGGTTACAGGTGTTACATTGGGATACAGTTGTGGTTTAAACTTCCAAGTAATTTTTGATCCTCTCACACATCCCAAATTGTCATGGGTCACACACTGAAACATGTCAATGGTTTTCCATTGTTGGTTTTCCTTATATGCCCAGGAATGATGATCAGTGGAATACATAATCAAATTTTTTGTGAGCTTGATTCCCATAGGCACCACTGGATATCAATAGTTAGGCTAGGGTGTACAGTTACTACATATGCTTGTAAAACCATTTGATCTTTGTTTAGGGTGACATTTACCAATTTCCACCATGCCATTAATTGTCTTTCCTCTTCTGTAACATCTTCTCACAACAGTTTTCATATTTCCAAAGGAAAATTTCCTTTCATACCTTCCTGGATTATTTGAATGACCAGTTGTGGACTTATTTCCTGAGCCTGTGTACAGGCTAATGCTTGGGACCCTTTTTCTTGTATTGATCCCATTGATCTGCTGAAGACCCAGGTGTTTGGAGGGGGAAGGATTTGGAGAACTGATCTGTATCTAGTGGTGCACTCAGGATCCCAATTCTTGTGGAGCTATTACAGAGACCTCTACAGTGTCAAAGAAATGGGGAATGAGGGTGTGAAGGTGACTCAACTTGGGCAGCCTCTATCCAGATTCAGGCTGCTTAGTGTCCCCTTCACCACTAAGGGCAGAGGAAACAATATACCTCATGATGATCAAGAGTTAAAAATTTTTACATAGTTGGGAGGATCTTTAAATGACCAGCCTCTTCATCAATGAGCTCTCATCCTTCTCTTTCCTTATGAAAGAACCTAGTAGCATTTCTAGGATTGCGTTCTTAACAGTTGCACTCCTAGCACCATAATGTATGAATGTTTTCACAATCTTTAATGCACTGTATTTATTTTCATAGCAGTCCTATGAAGTAGGAAGTGTTATAATTCCCACTTTAGAGATGGGGAACTAATGCACAGAGAGGCTAAATCACATGGCCAGTGTCATGTAGGAAGCCTGTGGGAATCCGTCTTAATTCCATATTTCCTAGGCCCTAAGGTGGTGCTCTAAGCATTGGACCCTCCTTTCTTTCCTCAAGAATGGTTGGGTCTGGGCTTCTGGTTTGGGTTTCTTTTAGTGCTTAACCCAAGGAATGAACTGAGAGCTGAGAGTCTGTATATTGAATCTGCTCAGGAGTGGATGTTTACCACTAGGTACTGAAGTTGGATCCCTCTCTAAAGCTCAACAGGACAAGATTTTCAAAAGTGAATGGTGATTTTAATTGCCTTCATTTTTGGATCTTTGAGATTCCTGAAAGACAGCCTGATACTCAGAAAGTACTGGGTCCTCGTCCTCTGAAAAATGAGGTTTCATTTTTCAAAGTGCCTTGAGTGGAGCATCCAAAAGCACTAGTTTCTTCTCAAAATCTTGGGTGTAGGTTTTAGGTTTCGTATTTCAACAGCAAAGAGAGATACATCCAATTTTTGAAAATTAGAGTAATGATTTACCCACATCTAATAAATCAGTCATTATTGTGGTTCATATTCAGACATGCAGCATTAATCTTAATTTTGCAAATATTCATCCAAAGAATTTTCATCTGAAGTATAGTCTTTCCTTCTGCATGCTTTTAACAGAAGTTTTTCCAAAACGTACAATCTTCTAAGACTTTTTCTTGGCAAAGAATAAGCCTTAGAAGAATGCCACAAAGTACTGTGGAAGGAACTAGTGTTTAATAATGCAAACAGCATTGAACTCTTTGACCCCAGGAAAAAAAGATCAATAATAATAAGATACTGGCAATTAAAACCAAAATTTCAAGTTTTAAAATGATATAGTGTGGGCAAATGTCTCCATCCAGTTATATTAGTGTGAATGAGGAGTAACTTATGGAGTCTGGAGGGGCCAAATGTATTTTATAACTGAGACCAATGGGCAGAACCTTAGCTAGAATTGTCATAACACCAGGGTGGAGCTGTGACAGCTTATACCAGTTGAGGATCTGTTCTCATGTTTTGGCTTCTTATAGCATTACACTGATTTAGTGAAGAATTCCTACTTATTAAAGAGACAGTGTACATTATTATTAGCTGTTGTTTATTATTTGTATTGTTATGGTGTTTAGGGACCCCATTTCTGAGTCAGATTCCAGTGTGCTATGTGCTGTACAGATATGAACAAAAATATCTTTGTGGACATCTCTGAGCAACACAACTCTATTTCTGATCCAATAACCTGTTAAAACATTTGGGACTGCTTGGCAGATTCTGGTTCACCAGAGAATATTAAGGTCTCAGTTGAAATCTGGTGTCACAATGGTAATCAATATCATTGTGAAATGTATGTTCCGATACTGTGTAAGGAGTTATGTGTGTATATATACTGAAAATATGTTATTGAAGTCTATTCCAAAGTATTGATCACCAGCAAAGGAGAAAAATAGGTTTTCTGAGACCATAGATGTTTATCCATCTGTTTACAAGTAAACTGAGTGTATTCTTATTCTCAATGGGTCTTCTATCCCCAGTCTGACCTGAATGCAAATGAAAAATTGTAACAAAGAACTTCTGAAAGAAACTAACAGTTAGAGAAACACAGCAGAGGAAGAGAACCTTATCCTAAGGCACATATAACCCTAACCCCCTCCCTGCTTCCTTATTTATTCCTGGCTCTGGACGTATACTCTAGTCATCTGAAGAGGTGGATTTTGCCCATGAAAGCTCATGATACCAGCTACATGTTTTGTTGGTCTTTAAGGTGCTACTAGACTATTTGCTGTTTTTTAAGTTTTTCCTGTTACAGACTAACTCAACTACCCCTCTGAAGCACATATAAAAGGTTTGCTTGAGTATATTTGAGAACTCAAATGCCTGGGCATCCTTTAAGTAGGAAGTAAATGTACAGCTGACAGAAAAAGTGGTCTCAACCAGAGTTGGTTTAAAATGGCGAAAAGAACTTTAGATGAGATAATATTCGTTAGATAGCAAATTAGTTAAGTTTAGTCTTTAGAAAGCATGTTATGACTTTAGTTTTTATAAGTAACCATTTTCCCCTGATATTCTTGTTCACTACCTCTTGAATCGCTCCTCTTTAATATAAACATATTCTTGTAATCACTATAAATATAACTAAGTGTTGGGGTGTTAACCAAAGTGCTGATCGTGAGTTAACTCTTACAAACTAGTGCCCTCTAATTTTGAATTATCAGATCTTCGCTATTGGTATGTTAAAATAGATTAATCAACTAATTGAATAGTTGAACTATTTGATTAGTCGATAAGGGTGCTTCTGCTTTGACATGTAGCAAGAGCCACCTAGCTGTTGCTACATTTCAAAGGCAGAAGTGCCATGGTGTTCTGCCTTTGAAATGTACAAGAGCCCCAGCATGGGCTCTTATGCATTTCAAAGATTGAAACACCACTTGGAGCCCAGGGCCAGCAGGGGCTGGCTGAGGCTCTTGTACATTTCTGAGTTGGAACGCTGCCGCTGCGCCCCTATCCTCTCCCATGGAGCTGGATCTCTGTCTTTCTGATAGAGGCAGCAAGGAGGAGGGGGAAGTGACTAGTCAACTAGTGTGTCCGCTATCTGATAAGCTTTTGCTTATCGGATAGTCGACTAGTAGATTAGTAGCTTACATCCCTACTTCACTAGATCCGCTAATCGAACCCTGGAAGATTGACCACAGAAGCGTTGATCTTCACTGTAGTGTAGACTTGGCCTTAAAGGATGTCAGTTATATGATGGGTCCTTTTAAAGATTTCATTGTATAGGTTATTGCGGGCAGAGTGGGAGCAGTGAATTTTTAGAATACATTTAAATGAGGATGTGGTGGCTTCGTTAGATCAGCCTAGTGTAATTAGCAAGATATTTAATATGACAACTAACCATTTGTTTTTGACATAAAATCTACCAGAAAAAGTGTCTTCACTGGGAGACCAGTTCTGCAATGCAAAATGCTGAATATGTCTTAGAGTCAAAGCAAGATGATGCTCAGCAGCTCCTAGAATTAGGCTCACGTTTCTTCAGTTTGAAAATGAGATCAGGTAGTTGGCTAAGTGCTTTTATTTTCTTTGTAGCTGTATGTTGTCTCAAGGTATAGATCTGCCTGTACGTTATAGTTCAGAACAAAAAGAACTGAAGGATAGCAATTGGGAAGTTCTAACAGAAGCAGTACAGATAGTTGGCATAATTTCTCTCTCTTTTTTAAAAATGAGGTTGGAGTGGAATGACTTTATATTTTCCTAGTAAAAACAATATTTTTGTATGATATGACATTAATTACTGTACCAAGAAAGATTGCTCAATCCAGCTACACAGGTCAAGCATAATCAGGCTCAGTATTGAAAACAAAATAAGTAATGTGGTAGAGAAGGGATATGAAACAAACAAACAAAAAGCTTGTTAAGTTAGGTACAATTGGAGAAATATTTGGGAGTTGAAGAGTTTCAAAATCTGGCTGTGGTTTAGAACAATCTGTTCTGTAGAATTTTGGTAGTTATAACTGTCTGAGTTATGATCTGCCCTTTGTTTTTTGCCTTCTATTTTCTCTTCAAAAGTACAGCCATTGTAAATAAATTAGACAGGGTATTCCCATTCTGTGTGAAATCTTTTTTTCCCCTCCCAACATGAAAATAACTCGTGTGGAATCTGAAGGTTTCTGGACTGTTCAGAAGTCTTGACAGTATCCTAGATTTTGTTGACATATATCTTCTGTCTGTTTCTTTCCAGGCACAAACCATGAATTACGTTGGGCAGCTAGCAGGCCAAGTGTTTGTTACCGTGAAGGAGCTCTACAAGGGGTTAAATCCTGCCACACTATCTGGATGTATTGATATAATTGTTGTACGTCAGCCAGATGGAAATCTTCAGTGTTCCCCTTTCCATGTGCGCTTTGGGAAAATGGGGGTTCTGCGTTCTAGAGAGAAAGTGGTAAGAAAACAGAAATCTTGTTGCTTTTTTCTTGTTTTTTTTTTTTTTCAGTATATGAACTCGTTGCATGTAGGTACAGAAGATGCTATAGTGTAGCAATCAAAGCTTTCATTAGATACTCTTTATCAACATCCTAAATAGTATTTTCAAGTTTCAGTTAAAATGGTTGATACTGATAGCACAATTTTAATGGATAATATATAGACAGTTTGTCATAATAATTACAGGCAAACTACAATTAGGCAAATGTATTTAATGAAACTACAGTTTCCATGTCTACATTTAGGTTTTTACTTGGAATTTCACAAGATACAATGATGGCTCATGTTATTTAACTTGCTAATATTTATAGGATTGTGTTGGCATATTGACAAATATTTTAACTGAAGGTACATATCCATATTCTTCTCATTACTGCTAAATTTTAAAGTTTTGTTGTAGTTTTTGTTAAATAATAATTTATACATGCTCATGATGAAATACTTTCTGTAATTGTTGCCAAATTCCTTTTCCTTATAGCATAAGGTTGACAATACAGACGTAGGTTAATATTAGCATCTCATGGTTTGCAGTAGGATCTTGCTGTACATTGTTTTGTTTATTAATGATTAGGGAAAAGATGTGAATTGTGAGATGATGAAGTTTGCAGATTGCAAAATTATGTAGGTTATTCAAAGCTTGAGGAACATAAAAACATAAGAATAGCCATACTGGGTCAGACCAAAAGTCCATATAGCTAGGAAACCTGTCTTCCAACAGTGGCCAATGCCAGATGCCTGAGTGGGAGTGAACAGAACAGGTAATGATCACATGATCCCTCTCTAGTCATCCATTTCCAGCCCCTGACAAACAGAGGCTAGAGACACCATTTCTACCCATTCTGACTAATAAGTATTGATGAATCTACCTTCTGTGAATTGATCTAGTTCTTTCTTGAACCCTGCTAAAGTCCTGGTCTTCACAGTCTCCTCTGACAAGGAGTTCCACAGGTTGACTATGCACTACATGAAGAAAAACTTCCTTTTGTTTGTTTTAAACCTGCTATCTATTAATTTCATTTGGTGATGAGTCTGTGAGGGACTTCAGAGGAACCTAATAAAGCTAGTTGAACTGGCAGCTTCATGTGAAATGAAAGCCACCAGTGACAAATGCATGATAAAGTGCATTTGGCAGTATAATTTATACTACTTACACACATTTTGGGTTCTAAATTAACTGTAATTACTCAGGAAACAGACTTGAGTGTCTGAGGACTTTTTTAATCTGGGATAAAAACCTTTATGATTCAGGATACTAGTCAACCATTAACTAATAGAAGTTAGCAAGATAGTGCCCCAATGGACAGCTTTCCCCATAATTATGAACTGTATATTTCTTGCTCCTTCCTCTGAAGCTTGTGACCAATGTCAGGTTCATGTTAGGACACTAGATGGACTTGTATGCCAGTTCCTCTGTTCTTAAAATTGCTTCATTTTTATTGTATTTCTCTCCCAAGGTTGACATAGAAATTAATGGAGAATCTGTTGATTTGCACATGAAACTAGGGGACAATGGAGAAGCATTTTTTGTACAGGAAATGGACAATGAACAGGTACTAACTAAAGATGATTTTCATTTGTCAAAATTCTGGCACATACACTGGTAATGATTCTGCATTTATGGCTTTTGTTTAAAATGCAGCTCTATCTAATGTATGTATAACTGAGGGTATGTCTACACTGCCACCCTAGTTCGAACTAGGGTGGTTAATGTAGTCAATCGAAGTTGCAAATGAAGCCCGCGGCTACACGGGTTCCACGAGGAGTAACGGTAGTTCCTCACTCAGAGGAACAATTCTGTAGACTGCTTCCGTCAGGTGCCCCAGCAAGCTGTAGTCTCCCTGCAGGGCCAAAAGGAGGTTAGGAAGGGAGAAGGCAAGGTCAGACCCATCCAACAAAAGGCTCATGGAATACCCAGGTGCACAGAGGTGCATACACTGCCCCCCCGCCCCCGAAGGAATGTTCACTTCCACACTCAGTTAGGGCTCTGCATTGTAACATAACTGTTCCTTTTGCTTGTCACACAAGGCTACTCCAACACAAATTAGGTGATTGCTTAAGCTCCAGATGAATGAGTGCTCTTCAGGCCCTTTGCACATCCCAGGGCAGAATTCATTGGAACCACTACTTCATAAGTGAAGACTTCTGGCCTAGTAATACCCCTTTTCTACCATGTGGAATGAATAATATGAACACTTTAAGCCCAAAAGTTTAAGACGTGCACTTTTGCATAAGCATAATGCTCAAAGCACACGCATAAATCAGAGATTTGTGCAACTAAAGGCCTACCCATATGCAAATCACTGGTTTGCTAGCATGCATTAGGTAATGTATTTGTGTACATTTATAGTATGCTAAAGCACACACAATTTTTCTGCATGTGCACTTTTGGGCCTAACATATTACTTTGACAATGGGCTGTACCAAGCTGTGAAAATTCAAACCTAAAATACTAATTTAATCAAGGATCAAACTCCTCTGTAAGAAAAAATGCACAACTGTCAGAATAAATCAGGGTATGTCTACACTACCACCCTAGTTCGAACTAGGGTGGTAGTGTAGACATACCCTGATTTATTCTGACAGTTGTGCATTTTTTCTTACAGAGGAGTTTGATCCTTGATTAAATTAGTATTTTAGGTTTGAATTTTCACAGCTTGGTACAGCCCATTGTCAAAGTAATATGTTAGGCCCAAAAGTGCACATGCAGAAAAATTGTGTGTGCTTTAGCATACTATAAATGTACACAAATACATTACCTAATGCATGCTAGCAAACCAGTGATTTGCATATGGGTAGGCCTTTAGTTGCACAAATCTCTGATTTATGCGTGTGCTTTGAGCATTATGCTTATGCAAAAGTGCACGTCTTAAACTTTTGGGCTTAAAGTGTTCATATTATTCATTCCACATGGTAGAAAAGGGGTATTACTAGGCCAGAAGTCTTCACTTATGAAGTAGTGGTTCCAATGAATTCTGCCCTGGGATGTGCAAAGGGCCTGAAGAGCACTCATTCATCTGGAGCTTAAGCAATCACCTAATTTGTGTTGGAGTAGCCTTGTGTGACAAGCAAAAGGAACAGTTATGTTACAATGCAGAGCCCTAACTGAGTGTGGAAGTGAACATTCCTTCGGGGGCGGGGGGGCAGTGTATGCACCTCTGTGCACCTGGGTATTCCATGAGCCTTTTGTTGGATGGGTCTGACCTTGCCTTCTCCCTTCCTAACCTCCTTTTGGCCCTGCAGGGAGACTACAGCTTGCTGGGGCACCTGACGGAAGCAGTCTACAGAATTGTTCCTCTGAGTGAGATAGTGTGGAGGGGGCTTCTCAGGCCTCTTCTTGTACCACTCCTGGGGCCTGGCACAGTCTAGCCCAATGTCTGTATTCTGATGTGTTAACATTTGAAATAAGCCTGAAGGTGCTGAGCTACTTACCCAAAAACTCCAAGGTGTTGGGACCTAGGTTTCTGCTCCTGGCCTATCCACTGGATAGTGAGTAGGGACACTCACGGACCAGTATTAGCTAGATAGAAAAGCCTTAGGAAAGCCCACATGGAGAAAGGACAATCTAGGCCTGAGTTGTTTCGATAGTCCATTTGATTAATAGATGGAGCCCATTCAGCACAATACTAGACCTATATTTTTGACTGTGGAGGGAAATAATATACCCCTTGGTTTTGATGTTTTTGTCTTCAGGAGGTTATTCCTTACCACCTTGCTACATCCCCCATTCTATCAGAGGGAGCTGCTCTGATGGAATCACAGCTGAAGAGGAACTTGATAGACAGGGTGAGGAACTTGGATTCTGGATCCTCACAGGTATCAATCACCAGTCTGGCTTCCCAGTCTGCTATAGAAAGTTCCTCAGTTTGTGGTTCCGTGAAGAAAAGAAGGAAAAGGAGGAGGAAATCTACCCATAAACTTGACAGTTTAAAAAGAGAAGACAATGGAGACACATCAGAAGATGAAAACATGTTTCTTATGCAGATTAGTTCTGAGGAAGAGAATGAGCCAGCGGACAATTTGAGGTATCATTATAATGCAGATCTAATGTCAGATTGAAAGGATTAAATGTTTTGGGCACATATTGCACAGAGAGGATTCAGGTTTTTAGGTATGTGTGTAAAGATTTCCTTTTGAATGAATAAGCAAACCCTCAAAATTACTAGACTTCTGATCTGAAACTAGCATGGAGAAAACCTCTGTTTTGCTTGGCTTACACTCCCTGATAAATACATAGGCACAGGAGTCTAATTGATACCAGAGCCTCAGCTAGTGTAAATTGGCATTCCTCCATTGATTTAAGTGCACCTACATTAATTTATGCCAGCAGGGAATTTTACCTATATATTGTGTCCTCACAGTGGATAAAACATGATGATTAATTCAAATGATCAGATCCACTAATTACTGGGGTTATTATTGTGTATACACCACAGATGCGGGAACTACAAACATGGTGAGCCAGCCCCTCTGTGGATCCTCTCTGAGTCCTCTTTGTTCAGCTCTGCAGTTGGCTCTTCTTTGTTTCCCTCTCCCTAGCCTGTGTTTCAGAGCAACATTAGCTCATGGGTGCATCTCTGATATGACATTGGGCAGAATAGGAGGGGCTGTTGCAATGTGCTTTGGATTTATCCCCTCTTATTGTGTACACTTCCAACCTGCCATGCCTCTACTTCTGCCCACAGAAGTCCCATCTCCACAGTCTTCCTACTGAAGGGATATTGAGGATTCAGAGGAGGGGTGGCCAATAATTTTTGAAAGGGGGCCACTTCACAAATTTCTAAAGTGGCCCTGGACTGCCCTGGAAAGTGCGTGGCCTCAGGTGGAAGGGGCAGGGCCAGGAGACTGCTTGTGCTCCCCCACCCTCAGACCCTGATTTTCCTGAGGGTGGGGAAACAGATGAAGTCTTTGGCACCCCCTCCTGCTGCACAGAGACCACCTATTTTAAAACAGCTGATGGTTCCCTCTAGGCATTGCAGCAGGACAAGACATCACGTGCCCGCCCGTCCCTAGCCCAATTAGGATCTGGGGGCAAGGGAGCATATAAAGTCTCTTGCCGCTTGCCCCATCCTGCCAGGGGTGTGTGGCACGTAGAGAGAGCCACGCGTTGCTTTAAAACAGCCAACTGTTCCCTCTGATACCATGCATCCCTAGTGGTGGGAGGAGACTTTGTGCGCTTCCCTGTTCCCAGATCTTGATTGGCCTGGGGGCAGGGGAGCAACAGGGGGCCGTGGGCTGGATCCACTGGCTTGGCAAACTGGATCTGGCCCGCAGAGGCCTCTTTTGCCCACCCCTGATTCAGAGGGTGAGAATAGCTGGTAGAAAAGTTGCTGTTGCCCGCTTCAATGCCCTGCATTTCCCCGGCCCCATCAACTTCTTCAGGTTTCAGCTTCCCTTCAGTAGCGCACACGGCTGAGATTGAGTTTTAACCAAAGAAGCTGAATGCAAAAGATCAGGAAAATCCTGCCATAAAACATAGCAATAGTCTGATGACATCTGTGGAACTATAGGGTGCAAGCCAGTCAATTGTTTTCTTCTAGAATTTCATTTATACTAACATCTAAGTGGCTTCTTGCTATAACATGTCTGCACTATTCTGTTTATTAACTAGGTTATAAAGAAATGTAATATTCAAGCATTATTTTAACTCCCAGTTTTTGTGTGTGTTTATGCTCAGGATATCGGTGACGGATGTTTTTAGTGAAGAAGAGTCTGAGATAAATACATCTGCAACCAGTATGCTTTCACAATCTGCACCATATCCCCATTCAGATGGAGAGTGGTCACCGCTTAAGAGGTACAGTATACAGAAGTAGAACATATAGTTTTCTAAAAACAATCTTCCCTTCCTTACTGAGCCTTACTTGCTGTCTCCTTGAGTCTTGTTCTGTTAAGCATTATCACTATGAAACTACTAAATGATTACCTTCTGCCGTTGAGGATGTACTATAGATGTAGCAATTATGGCCCCAGGGTATTAGAGAGACAATGTGAATGAAGTAATATATTTTATTGAACCAGCTTCGGTTAACAAACAAGCGAGAAGTGTTTGAGCAACACTGAGCTCTTCTTCAGTTCCGGGAAGGGTACTTCTAGGGTCACATCTGCTCTGTGTGTGTTGAAAGCTTGTCTGTCTGATAAACAGAAGCTGGTCTAATGAAAGATAGATTAGGTAATATCTTGTCTCTCCTTACATGTGAGTTCAGACAATATTTAACAGCTTTATGGCAACTCTACTTTCACTTCCAGTTTTCAGATATGGACTCTGCTGTGTTTGAACCTTGGAATATTTGCTGCCTTAATCTGGTCACATACCCTGTGCTTGATCTTTGAAGTTGGGAATCATGCTGCCCTCAACAAAAAAACTCATTTGCCCAGAGAAAATGACCTAATCCTGTAGCACTTACTCACCTGTGTAGTGACACTAATGTCAATAGTTTTGTATAATTACCATATGGTTGGTAGAACGATCAGTGAAAGTTGAATCCATGCTGCGCAGAAATTGTAGAAAGACTTTAATGGATTTTGCCTTAAGTTTATTTTGTTTTTTATGTACAAGATTGGGCCTCAATATGTAAAAACCAAGATTCTTTATGATTCAAGAAAATAAGCTTCCTTTGTCTATTTATAAATATTTCTTTAGTTAAAAAGATGGCTATAGCACGAAGGCTATGTCTAAAAAGTATACAAATGAGGCAAAGCGTGGAATATTGCCGTGCCTCATTTGCATAATTAATTGGGCTCCTATTTGTGCAAAACCCCCCTCTTGCGCAAAAGGGGTTTTTTTTTGCGCAAAAAGGAGCCATGTAGATGGCTTCTTTTTGCACAAAAGCCTCTTGCGCAAAAATGGAGCCTTATTCATTATGCAAATGAGGCACGGCGATATTCTACGCTTTGCCTCATTTGCATATTTTTTGCGCAAGAGGGGGCAGTGTAGACATAGCTGAAAATGTTCATTATATATAATAATCACAAATACCCACAGTATATTATATACATTTATTCCTTATGCATTTCTTGTTTAATATTCTTTAGTGTTGGTGAGTATACATTAAAATCAAAGTGTCAATGCATTTCTTCCTCCTGAAGAACAGCCTTAAAGCAGTTCAGTTAATGCCAGCTGAGTTCTCTTTCTGCACATTAGTAAGGTTCCAATGAAGTTTATTCCTGTGCAGTGTCCTGGTGGCTGGTTTGAACTGTCTGCTACTTTTGTGCTTCTTCATTGCAATGCTTAGGTTTTGAAAACTTGAGGTGTACAGTGTTGTTTTCAAATTGGCTTCAAGTGCCTAATGAGCTTGTGTTAATTAGCACTTATTTTGAATAATGACACCCAGTTTTTCTCTTTCAATATATTGTGCTATCCAGTAAGCTTATAGATTGCACAGGGCCATCCTCTCATCTCACTGTACCAGCAGAAGGAGGCCTATCTAGTTCTTGTCCTCATCAATCTTCTCACTTCCCTGCTACAGACAGGTAGGGGAGTTATTCTCCCCCTTGTGGGATGTGCGCTTAATCCTTTAATGCATTAACTGAATGTGAACTTTGCAGAGCTTACAAAGCTACTTATTACTAACTTAGACACTTGGAAGAAAATGTGAGAGAGCAGAATTTCCGTTACTTGCCTTTTCAATGGGCTTTAGAGGTAGATAAGCTGTACAAAGAAGCCTGACATTGCATTATGATGGGTATAATGAAAAAAAAAAACCATTAGAAAAATGGGAAAAATGAAAAAAAAAAAAGACTATGAAAAATATTTTTAAAAAGACCATGAAAAAAGATTAGGAAGAGAAATGATCCTGCTCCTTGGCTGATGTTAATTGGTGGAGTTCTATTGAAGTTAATACATACATTTCCTTTGGGACATTCTGTAGTTTAGGAGGTTTTTTTAAAGTCAATTCCATTTCACAGGAAATGGATAACTTTCTTTCAAAGTTTTCTTTCCCGTTGTGGTACCATGGTATTTTTAAATGAAAAGTCCAAAATCCTTAAGATGGTGCTTAGTCAGACAAGAATGGGGAAAACAAAGCCAAACTCATGGAGACAGGAGTGAAGAGGAAGGAATGAAGCCTTTTTTCTGTTGTCCCCTCATCTTCATTCTTTGGATAGGAGATGGAAGCATTTTGGATAGGAGATGGAAGCATTCAAAGGAAGTAGGAATAAGATCCCCCGGAAAAGGGCGCTTTTTCCGGAGGATCGGGGCCAGTGTAGACGCTCTTTTCCGGCTTTTGTAAAAGCCGGAAAAAAGCGGCGGACATTTTTATTTAAATGCCGCGGGGGATATTTAAATCCTCCGTGGATTTCCCTATTGCGATCTCTGAAATTAACATGCCCCTTCCGGAAAAGGGGCCAGTGTAGACGTAGCCTAACAGAATGCAGGATATGGTTCAATAAATGTAATTGGTAATAACTAATTGAAGACAGTGGAACTTCACACATCTCACCAAGGGCTCAGTTGGAAGAGACAGGGATAACCGGTCCTAATTCAGACTGGGGAATTTTGATTATAGAGGCTGAGGTTTGAGAAGGAAAGAGTCCAGCTTGAATCTCAGATCTCAGGCAGTCTTCATGGAGTTGGTGGTGATAAAGATGGATGCTCTCAGTGCTGTTTTACCATGTCCTTTTTCCATTTTACAGTGTTATTTTTTTTAATAATCAAAACCACCTCCCTTCAACACTCAAATGCATCTTTCTATGCCAGTGAGCAACTGACTAAAAGGAACTGATGTTCTCTGAGCATTTGGTCAGGCAGCTAGTGTGCTGTGAATGCTGTGCCCTGTTAGCTCAGTGTCTTCTAGTTGAGTCGTTGGTGAAACTTGTGAAATTCCATTGTCTTCAGTTAGTTATTACCAATTAAATTGTACACAGCTGTCACACTTTTCCCTTGTGATCTCTCCATCTGTTTGTTGTATCTCCTGTCTGTTATCTATAGCTTAAATTGTAAGATCTTTAGGCCAAGACTCTATTTTGATATCTGTTATCACAACCTCTAGTACAATAGGGTCTTTCTTCATGGCACTACTGCAGTTCAAATAACAAATGTCAAAGATAACAATTCTGCTAGTGTCTATTGTATGCCAGAAGAATTTCCCACTTTTGCTACCCTGCCTGACCTGCTGGTGCACATCGCAGTGCTGTGGGGTGGTATATCACAACTCTCAGTTTCACTCAAATATTTGCTACTTGAATAAAGTTCAGATCATACTATATAGCTCTCTCTCTAAAAAATATTGTGCTCTTTCAGGCATAGATTCTGTACCAGTTTCTTCTGGCTAAATTCATTCTGCTTGGTGGGATTATAATTTATTCCCCCATTGTCTTCAGTGTCATTCTCTAACCTCTCTCCATTGAGATCTCACGCTCCCATTTATTTATTTCCCTTCTGAAATACATTAATCTCAAAGTGAGGAAGTATAATTTTTAAAAAATATGACCAGGATTTCTTTGGGAGACAATATTCTTGAGGCTACTGAGTAATGCAAGACATGCCTTTCTCAGGAGTTAGTACATTACGTGAAGAATATTCCCAAGCCCTTCCAAGCCAGAGAGCAAGAAATTAGATGTGGGAAATGAACCTAGAAGGTCTCCCGTGTGGCAGGACACAATCAGTAGATTATCAGTCTTACGTGGTCTTCATCATGAATAAATCCATCTCATCCCTGATTGAAGAGTGTAACCCTGCCATTGGTCTGGGACATAATTTGGTCCAACTCAAAAGGAACACAACAAAAATCTTAAAAATGTGATCGTCAGGACTGTTAGCGCTTTATAAAATTTTACAGCAGCAATGTGGAGTGGACATTGTCTTAAGCATCCATATCATGAGCAAAAATATACAACATGAGGTTTGAAGGCAGAAGTATACAAGTGAGTTCATAAACCTAGCTAGTGCCTTCATTAAAGCAAGGGTCATTTCAGAGAGGTGTGGGTCAGTGGGAGGAGCAGTTTATTGTTATTAAGGGTAGATGGTATGTAAAGGAAAAAAAGTCCTTGGGTTTGTGAGTGTAAGCCCAAGGGAAGAGCTGAGGCAGGAGGATTTCCACATCACAGATCTGGGTATTTAAATTCCCTGGTGGTTTTTCATAGGGAGGTGTTCTTTCTCAGTGGTGTACGCTTATGGCCCAGAAAAGACTAGGTGTATCCATGGGAGAGGAAATCCTTCCCAAGCAGAGCAGTGGTAGTATGTTGCGAAGAGGCAGTGTATGTGCATTATTTGCTCACATTCTTTCTCAGCTTTGGAGTCACCTAAAATCATTCTTCTGATGGTTCTAATGGCATGGTGTGTTGCAGAGCTGCACTGTGTAGCTTTTTGCTTCCTGGTGCCCTTGAATAATGGAATTATGGTAGTTCTTGAATGTTGGGTCTTCTGTTGGCAGGAAGAGAGTCTCACTCTCAGTGAGTGACAGCTAACCTCAGAATACTAACTCCAACCCCAGCTTGCTATTTACAGATAGCATGGGAAACTAACCTACCCTTTGCATAATGTTCCAACCGATTTACAAAGTAGGAGTGTGCAATATTTACTCCTCTTTGCCTTCGTGTGCATGTTTACATTTCTGGTTTGATATTGTAATATTTTAATTTGAGAGGAGCAGAGATTCCAAACATTCTATTTATAATTCCTGGGCACTTCTTAAAATTACATTGGTGTTTGTGTGCATTAATATACAAGGGGATCTCTGTAGAAAAGAATTATGTAATGTGGATATCTTTTGCCTTCTAAATTTTTAAGTTATTATTTGTAAATTGCATTTAAACAAAGCCAGACATTTACAAAATAAAACAATGAATATATATTTACTTTCATTTTGCTTGTGTCAAATACTGTGTAGATACAATATGCATTGTTTTGGGGTGACAAGGAGGCATTATTAAGACTGTAGGGTTTAAATCCTAACTGCACTACTGATTTACTGTGTTATCGAAGGCAAGTTACATTAGGGACAGATTTCCAAAGGTAGTTAGGTGCCTAAAGATGCAGCTAGACACCTGGGCCTTGATTAATGGAAGCTAGAAACCTAAATACATTGGGGGATATAAACCAAGTGGATTTTCAAAAGTGTATAGGTGATGAAAATCCCATTGGATGCCAGTTTGCATCTTTGAAAAGCCTTCATCTCCCCAGTCGTAAAATGGTGATATTGTGATGAGCATCAGTTAATGATTGTAAAGATCTTGGAAAACCATAGAAGAAAATTTCTACAACAATGATCTTTGCAAACTTGCTGGGTTTTTTTAGATAACTAATTACTTGTAGCTGGAGGAATTAAACATTTGCAGTTTCAAAGGTATTTCCTGTAGCAAGCACAGTAAACTATAAAGGTAAAATGTAGATTGTCAAACAATCTTCTCTATTTAAAATAATCATAGGGAAAACTGACAAGTTTTAAGGACTGCTGTTGTGTTAGTGCAAAATAATTGTTTAGTCAAGTCACTCTTTCTCAGATAATGTCATGACCATGAGGGTTAGGCAGCAGCCTGGGCACTAAGGGGTTAACTATACCTAAGCCAGGTAGAGTCAGCCAATAAAAATGCAGATAGGGATTTCAAACTGAGACAAAGGAATTTTTGGATTTTTCCCTCCTTTGTGAGTGGGCAGTTTGCTCTCCAGCTAGTGAGGAGAACAAACAGAATGTCTCCCTCCACGAAGAGACTCGTCACTATCTGTAAATTAGGTAAAGTTTAGATAAATCCATTAGGTTTTATTGCTTTATGGTTTGGGAAATGGGATCTGACGTCTGTGTATTTAAAAAAAAGTTTTTTTGCTCTTTTGTAATTAAGTCCTAGCCCTTGGTGGGGTTCCCCCCATGAGTATATTATTTTGTGACTTTTCCATCTAGTCATTATGCTTGCAACAGGAATATTGTAGTGATAATAAAAGTTCTTTCCCTTTTCTTTTTATTAACTTGGTATTGGTTAATTTTGTGTCCTGGTTTTTACTTTAGGGGTGAGATTTCCCAAGTGATCTCTCCCCTGATTTTTCTTATAATTACTTGGGTGGTGGCAGTGGATTTTATCCCCAAAATCTAGGTTTTTACGATTTTGGGGGGCAGTTTTATACCAGAGCCTGGAAAGATTGGGTTTTGGGGTACTTTTGTGGGCCCCCACTTCTGCTTTTATCGTACCAAAGTGGGGAAGGAGCCTATGACACCCCTGAATTCTCCCCACACCCCTCTAAACCCCAGCCCTCTGTCCCAAACCCCCTGACACCAGAACCCTCTGTCCTGAGCCCCCCTACATGTCCCATCCCTCTGCTTAAGAACATGAGCAAAGCTGGGGACATTGCTTAGTGCTCTACAGAGACCGGCTCCCACTGACGTCACCGGGCACCGACGCACGGCGGGGGCGGAGCCTGATGACGTGGCGCGTTGCGTCACCCCGGCTGGACGCCGGCGGGGAATTCAAAAGGGGGAGGGAGGACGGAGGAGCAAGGAGGGGGAAGGAAGGAGACATAGAGCTAGCGGAGGAGGAAGGAGCAGAGAAGGAGGAAGGAGCAGAGAAGGAGGAGGAGGAAAGAATAGAGGAGGAGGAGAGAACAACGGAGGAAGGAGGCACGGAACACAGAAGGGGAGGCACGCAGCACAGGAAGGAGGGAAGTGGGGTAGCACCAGGGGTGAGGGGGACTACGTAGAAGGGGGGGAAAGCAGAGACAGCGGGGAGCCGGACGGGCTCGCTCGTTACAATAAGGTTTTGGGGTACTTTTGCGGGCCTTCACTTCTGCATTTATCGTGCCAGCGTGGGGATGAAGCCTTGACAACTAATAATGATGGTTAGAAAACCTGCCTTACCTGGAGAGTCTGAACAAGTTCAATCTGTTTAGTTTATCCAAGAGAAGGTTAAGAAGTGTTTTAGTCATGATGAATTCAGATTAGAAGTAAAAAGCATATTTTTAGAAGTGAGGATAGTTAACTATGATGGTTCCCAACCCTTTTTATACTGTTGGAGCGGCACACCCATTCACAAACTTTTGGTGGACCAGTAACATTTTATTTGCATGCTTGCATCTGCCAAATTTACCCCCTTACCAGCTGACCCCATCTTGTCATTGCCATCCTTCTGTTTCCAACCCCAGAACCCTGATCCTGCCCTTCTATCTCTGGTGCCCCTTGCTCCACAAATTCCATGACTGCCTGTTGTGTCAAACCCTGATTCTACCCCACTGACCATGCAACTGCCTGTTCCACAAGCTCTGAGGCCCTTGATCCTGCTCAGATGCCCTCAGATCTCCTGCCCCCGAGACAGAAGCACGAGCTGCACTGTAGCTGGCTCGATAAGCACTGACTCACTGCAACTCACCCCTTTGACCCCTAACCCCTGCCCAACATCAGCCCCAGCCCTCCCCCCTTTGAACTCTAGCCTCAACCCAGCCCCTTGTTCCCCAGTGCCGCTTTGACACCACCCCATCCCCACACTCCCCAGAGAGAGGCTGCCCCCTCTAGGGAATGTGGCTGTTACTGCTGTGCAGGCAGGGGGAGCGGCCGTTGGTGACACGCACACTCTCTCCTCTTTCGTTTCCCCTCCCTCCCCAAGCAGTCCTTGCATCCCCATGGGTAGAGGCAGTCGGGGAGGAGTGAGGCTGGCTGGGCTGCTGTCTTATTTGGTTGGGAGGGGGATGGGATGCACCTCCTGCTCCACCTCCCCCTGCCACCTCTTCAGCCCCAGTGCCACTGCTGGGCAAAATCAGCCACCATGGTCAAAATTCAGCTCCACCAACTGCCGCAGCCCAGCAATCAGTGGTCTATGGCCTGGCCCTGGTCCACTGACCAGCAGTTAGGAACCTCTGAACTATGAAAACATCTTCTCAGAGATTGATGGATTCACCATCACTTGAAGTCTTTGAATCAAGATTGTATATATTGTATTTAAAATATACACTGTAGCTTAACCAGAAGTTATAGGCTGGATACAGGAATTTGAGATGAAATTTGATGGATTTGCGCTATGCAGGAGGTTAGATTAGATCAGGAACGGGCAAAAATATAGCCTGCAGGCCAGATCCAGTCTGCCAAACGTTCATATCCAGCCCACCGTGATTCCTTGGGCCACCAATATGCTCAGTGAACAGTTGATTGATTGTCCAGTTTTCCACCAAGGAAGATCAAATTATGCATACTCCATTCCCATTGGCTTCAGTGGGAGACCCACACCACTATCCAGTGGCAATATTTGACACCCCACCCCCTGTGTCCAGTGGCAGAATGGGCATGTCAATAAAAGGAAAGAATATGGAACAACTAGATTTGTAAAACTGTTTTACTGCTTATTGAGAATAACGGGGCCTGATGAACTTTACTGAATTATCTGTACTTTGACAGTGCTGCAGCTCACATGCCACCCATTTCCCTACTTTTCTTAGAGCCATGTGTTCACCCTTTCTTCCTGTGTTTTTATGTAGGACATGTCTTCCCTGAAGTAGGCTGTACCTCCACCTCCTTCAAATTTCCTCCTCACGACCCCGATGCTTACCCAAACCTGCCAGCTAGTAATGGCTCCTCAGAGATCCAGTCAGGGATAGTTATTTTGAAAATTGTTGATTGCCCTCCTTTGATTTGCTGCTGAGCTCCTTAGATTTTTTTTTTAACCTTTTGGGTCAGTGACTGGAAGGTGCGTTGTTTGTAATACAGATAATATACTGCAAGCGGTTTCCAACCACCTGTCTGCGGCCTGGTGCCGATCCATGAACCGCTGGCTGCCGGGCCATGGTGGCTCTGGGAGCCGGGGCTGGGATACACTGCCCAGTGTCTCTCCTCCCATCTCAGCTGTTGGGAGAAGCGTGTCCTGCCCCGCTTCTCAGCCAGCCAGTGCCGGGCAAGAGCAGGGTCTCTTCCTGGCTGCGGAAGAGCAGTTCGCAGTGCGGTGGGAGGGCTGTGCGGAGCCCAGTACAGCAGCCTCAGAGCAGCTGTGACCCCGGGCAGCAGCGCTTCAGCTGGGAGGGAGGCAGCACAGGGCTAGGGGGATGAGGGGGGTGAGGCTGGCACTGGGAGGCTCTGGGGGCGAAGCTAATACTGGGAGGTTCCTGGGGGCAGGGCTAGTACTGGTGAGCACTAAGGAGCAGAGGGCTCTAAGTGGCAGGGGGATGGCACTGGGGGGGCTCTGGGGTCAGGGCTAGTAGTGGAGGGCTACGGGGGCAGGGCTGATACTGGAGGCTCTGAGGATGGGGCTAATATTGGAGACTGGGGGCTGTCACTGTGGGGTCTGGTGGTGGTGGGGCACTAAAGGGTGGGAGACTGGCACTGAGGCATTTGGGATGGGAGGCTGGCACTGGGGGCTCTGAGGGCAGGAGACTGGCACAGGGGGTTGGTATAGGGGACTCTGGGGTCAGTGGCTGGTGCTGGGAGGTAGTGGAGGGGTGGTGGGGGCTCCAGGGGTTAGGGCTGGCATTAGGAAGTTCATGGGGGCATTGTGTACCCCAGCCCTTGCCCCCAGCTGTTTGCAGCAGCTCTGGGCACTGAGGCTTTTGGTTGACTGCTAAAATTTCCTTTGCATATTCATTATTTGTATAATGAATATGCAAATATGGAAACGAATGTTGCCAGTCCGCCAAATGTTTGAGAATGTGTTTACCACTCTGCTATATTAAAAAAAGGTTGGAAATCACTTATATAAGCACAGATGCTGCATAATGCCACTTGGTGTATGCTTTGCTCTTATGTAGCTGTTTAATAAATGTATTGTTTTGGTTTTTTTCCCCCAGTCCCTCAGGTTCTCGCCCTCCCACTCCGAAGAGTGATTCAGAATTAGTCAGTAAACCTTTGGACAGGGGAATGCAGAAGAACAATCCACAAATGCACTGGGACTGGGGAGAGCTACCTCAAGCTGCAAAGGTATCAAACATCACTCCTGTTTCATTTCTGTCGGTATCTGCTGTGCATTGTTGATAGGGCATGTGAACATGCACGTGCGTATTTCACTTAGCTGATATACATGTTTGATTTTAGGCTTCAGCATCATATAGGCAAATCAAAGTCAGAATTAAGAGCTGAATTATGTTGAGTGTTAAAAGATGAGGACAAGAAATTAATAACTAATGAGAGAGAAGTAGGAGCCAGTGAAGGAATTCAAAGGGGGATGGTGATGTGGCTTGATGGATGGACCATGGAGACTGCTATAGAGACTGCAGTTGGGTTGGATTGGAGAGGACATTGTGGATTTTTGGGATGAATGTCCAAGAGGGTGAGGTTGCAGTGGTTGACATGAGAGATGATGAAGACTTGGACAAGAATTCAGCTGTAGGGACAGAACAGAAGGGTTGGATTTTAAAGTACAGGTTGGATCTCTCTGGTCTGGCACTCTCTCAGGACCTGAGCTGTCCCAGACCAGGGAGTTTGCTGGACCAGGAGAGGTCAGTGCTCCACTGCTGGCTGCCCGGCTCATGCCTCCTTTCCCTGGGGTTCCCTGCCCTGCTGCTGGCCCCACTAAAGCTGGCCTGCCACGATTCCCCATCTTGTTGCCTGCGTGCTGCCCCAGCATTCCTGGTGGGGAGTGCTTGGCTGCTGCCAGTCCCGCTGTCACAGGATGTTTCCGGACCAGAGAATTCCGGATTTGGGAGGTTCACTCTGCATTGCAGAGGAAGAAATGGCAAGTTAGGGCATATTGATGTAGGCAAACATTTTTGCTAAACGAGGAAGGCTTTGCATGTAAGCATTTTGTCTACAGAATTAAAGATACTTAGTGTTATTCATATTTATTACTGACTGAAATAGAGAACACTCCCTGGCCAAGATTTCAGGAATTGGCTAGTGATTGTGGTACCACCCTGAAGGACGTTAAAGGGTATTTCATTTTCAGAAGGTTCTGGGCACCTACTTTCTGACAGGCCCTTTCAAGGTATCTGCAGATGGGCACCCAAAGTTGTGGTTGATTTTTGAAATTCTTGTCCCCATCTGTATCTTTGGTTATACATAGTGAGAGGCACGAATGACTGAAACAACCAGCTACAAAAATACGGTGTCCCATAATTTCCCTGTGGACAGATGATGCAGAGTAAAATTTTCAAACGTGCCTGAGTGACTTAGGAGTCTATATCCTACTGTAAGTCAATGAAACTTAGGTTCCAATGTCACTGAAGGGGTTTTTCAAAATGTTACCCATCCAGCCAACTAAGAGGCACCTTTACTATGGCTTTGTGAGCACAACTATTCATTGTATGTAAAGTATTAGAACTACGTAACAGTGAGTTAGTGGTGCAGTAAATGCAGCATTTGGCACTTGGGCTATGGCAGTGGATGGTGCATGTCTAGGCTACTGCATATTCTAACCAGTGGGCTGACTGTATGACATGACAGCCTTGTGGTCTGTATGTGCTGACCATTATCGTAACCAAGAATCAAGTGAAGATCTTTGTGGTCCATTGGCAGCTTCTCTATGAAGCAGCAGCTCTATTAAGTAAAAAAGGGGCTTAGCTCTTGGACAAGTTAATAGGAGTTGCTCTGAGCATTGGCTTCTCGGAGAATCATTCTTTGTATACTTTTTACTAGGAACCGCCATTCTTACAGAAGTATTTGTTCACTGAAGTCAGTGTTGCAGCCACTCAGGGTGATCTACGCTGCACCCTTAGCTCAAAATAAGCTATGCAGTATGAGCTATGTAAATTGCGTAGCTTATTTTGAGTTAATTTCAAAATAAATGGCTATTCCAAAATGTCTCTTAATCCTCGTGGAATGAGGTTTACAGAGACGTCGGAATAGCGAGCCCATTATTTTGGAAGCTATTTCGAAATAATGAGCTTGCTTAAAAGATGCAGAATAGCTGTTTTGGGATACTAGAAGTATCCCTAAATAGTGCTGCTGTCTAGACGTACCCTTAGAGTGCTGCTTCGTTTGAAATCCGTGGGAGTTCTGCAGCCAGAGCAGCTGTAGAATTGGGCTTTTCAGAACCAATGATTCAGCTAACTGAGGTTTCCAGTTGTGGCTGGTTTTCTTGAGAACTGGAGCTCAGTAGGCATGGAAATAAGTATAACAGGCCCTCGTCTGCTTCCTAGGAGATACTGAACATTTTTGTGTTTTTTAGACCAGGCTAATCTTCTAACTACTTTGGGTTTCTCTTTTTCTGAAAAAGATCTGTTTGTTTTTTCTTCTAGTCCACTTCTTTAGTCAAGGCAAAGGAATCCAGCATGGTGAATGTAAATCCTTCTGAAAGCACTCATTTTCGAGTAATTCAAAGTGAGTCTGCAGAGCAGATAAGCAGCTTGACTTCTTTACCTGCCAGTGGACAGGCAGCTGTTGTGGCTTCAAATGAAAGTGACTTCCAGCCAGCACCAAACGAGATAAATGAAGGGGAAATAGAGGCTCTAGGAGAAGCAGAACCACCACTGTCTGCCAATGAAGAAATCAAACAAGCTGCAGCTTGCTTACCCCAGCCAGTGAGCAAAATAGATTCCCCTTCTAGAAAGAAAGGTAAAGTAGTTGCCTTCGCAATTCTATGCGCATGATTTTGCACCTAGAACCCACAGTGATTGGGAACTTTTTAGCTAGTTGAACTCCTCTATTACACTGGAGCATTTCTGAAGAGACTGAAAAGAAGAGCAATATGTCTTCTATTATAAATAACAACTGAGTATGTGCATATGGAGTAGGCTTCTTAAAAAAGGACTTGGAATTCTAGCAAGAGAAATAGTTGTCTCCCTTGGTTACAGTATTTAGCATATCTTTGTAGAAAAGCCAGGTTGCAAAACTTGTACTAAATTGTTCCCTGTTGCCTGAAAACCAAGGATTGCAGAATTCTGTGGTCTGAGCATGCTGCAAGTTTCCTGTACCAATTGTTGGCTCGACTGCCTGCTGTGCCACTGCTAGTTTGTGGAGTGCTTCTGCCTCAAAGCGAAGTTGCAACATGCTCTTTGCTTAAACTTGCATACCACAAAGCAGAATGGTCTAATCACACACAAGCATTTTTTATTGTATTTACCATGCACATAATGTTTTTCAACAGGAATATAAATATGCCCCTTTTCGCATCTCTCTAATGTCCAAAGGTGATGGCAGATCATGTTCTGATGAGGTATACAGTCTTCATGTGAGGTTTGCACATTCACAATTTGTATTTTGGTAGACCCTAAATTCCCCAAGGTGCTGGAGGTTTTTATATGAGCAGACATTATTTCAGACAGTTTTCTCAGCCAGGTCTCCAAGGGTTCCACATTTGTGAAGGTAGGAGTAACTTGAGGTGTTCCATGTACTCTGCAATCATTTGTGCTCCTTAACTTGCCTTCCTTTGATTATTCTTCTGAAATTTAGGGAGTGAGTTGTGTGATTTGAGTAAAGGATACAAACTGGAGGTCACAGTTGTGAGTAAAACTATAAGGATTTTTCATGCTCCATGCAGTCACTCTTCTAGAAGTGTCTACAACAAGAGACCAAACGATTGTCCGGTGGTCAGGGCACTAATATAGCACTTGAGAGGCCTGTGTTCAAGTCCCTGCCTTTGTCACCAAGGACAAGTCACTTAGCAGTTCCGTGCATCAGTCTCCCATCTGAAAAATGGGGACAATAGCACTCTAACAGCACAGGGTGTTGTGAGGATAAATGTATTACAGCATGTGAAGTGCTCAGATAACGTGGGGATAGGGCCCTATAACCACCAAAGATAGACTCCTAGAATTTAAGGCCAGAAGGGATCATTGTGATCATCTAGTCTGATTTGCAGCACATTGCAAGCTACAGATCTTCATCCACCTGCTCCTGTAATAGACCCCTAACCTCTGGCTGAGTTATAAAGTCCTCAATTTGAAGACTTCAAGTTACAGAGACTCCATCATTTACTGTAGTTTAAATCAACAAGTGACCCCATGGTGCAGAAGAAGGTGCAATGGATCTCCTAGAGCAGTGGTCTCCAAAGTGGAGTGTGCGCACCCCAGGGGGTGCGCAAGACAATTCATTGGAGTGAGGGAAGAAAATTCCCTGGCGCCGGCCATGTATGGGGCACAGTGGGGCTGAGGGAGCGCATGTGCACTGTGCTCAAACGGCTGAGAGGGGAGATGCCCGGGCGTGGTGTGATGTTAAGGCCCGGGACTTTAAAACCGCCTGGCCCAGCGTTGCACCATGCGGCCCAACATGTGGTCTGGAGCCCTGGAAGCATTGGCTGTGGGGACTTCTGGGGCCCGATCACAGGCTCCAGCCCCTCATATTGGAAGGCAGAAGGTGGGGGAGGGGAAGGGGGAAAAATAGAGGGAAGGAGTGGGAGAGGAAGAGGCTTGTGCTGAGGGGAGGCGGGGGAGGAGAGCATGCCTGGAGAAGAAAGGGGAAGGCACCAAGGGACAGCATGGAGGAGAGACAAATGCCAGGGGGCCAAGTGGAGACAATGAGGAAAAGGGCAGGAGGGTAGGTGTCAGTGGGAGGGGGGGTCAGAGTGGTGCTGGGAGAGGAGAGGGTAAGGACATTGGGGACTTCAGGGGGGAGGGGAAGGTGCTGGGATAAGGCTTGAAAGAAGAGATGGGCATGAGGAAGATGGAGATGGAGCAAGTGTTAAACCAAGATTTTCAAAAATAATTAAGCATATTCAATCACATTGCTCTCACTAAAAATATTATTATTATTATTAATAATAATTTTTTTAGAGTAAATAAAATAAACAATATTTTTTAATTTATTTCATCTTTATCTCATCCTTTTTTAATTTCTATTTTTTGTGTATGTTTTATAATGTACATAATATATTAGTCCAGTAGTACATGCATATAATTTATAAATAAATTAATAGACATATATTGGGAATGCGTGCTCAAAAATTTTTTACTGATAGGGGTGCGTGATCAGAAAAGTTTGGAGACCACTGACCTGGGGTTTCTGCCAATTTGATCTGGGGGAAAATTCTTTTCCTTCCCAAATATGCTGATCAGTTGAACCCTGGGCTTGTCAGCAAGACCCACCAGCCAGGCACCTGGTAAAGAATTTCTTGAAGTAGCTCCAAGCTGTCCTTATCTAATGTCTCATCTCCAGCTGTTGGAGACATTGGCTACTAGCAGTCACAAATGGGTAGAGCCCAGCACGGATATATACATCCACATCTGCAAAGATGAACTGTGGAGATCCACACCTGTATCTGCAAATGCAGATACCTGCAGATATAAAGTGGATATCCGCAGATCTACAGGGCTATTCAGACGGGATACAGGCCATTGTAGTCAATCTCATCATACCATTCCCTCCATAAACTTCTCAAGCTCAGTTTTGAAGTTAGCTATTTTTGCCCCTACTGCTCCCCTTGGAAGGTTGTTCCAGAACTTCACTCCTCTGATGTGGTTTGAAACCTTCATCTAATTTCAAGCCCACACTTGCTGATGGCCCATTTATGTCCATTTGTCTTTGTGTCGATATTGGCACTTAACTCCTCTTCCATCAAAACTAAAATATTTTAAAGGATTTTTTTTTTTGGCCCCTCACTTGTTAGGTGTCCAAATGAAGTATCCAGGTTAGGTATCTAAATGAGACCTATTAGGTCACCAGCATTGTTTTCAGCTGGAGTTGTGGGTGCTCAGCACCTCTGAAAAATCAATCTTTGGGCATCTCCCTATGGCATACAAAATCAGTGGCCAGTTGCATAGCTTTTGTCTTTGCAGTTTTGTGTCATTGTAAATGATCATTTGTTTTCTCTTAATTACAAATTGCATGTACATGCTTTGTGCGCTATAGTTCCTTAATATATGGGATTTGTAAAAATTCTGATTGTGTATTTGGAAGATACCAATTCACTATTTATTTATTCTGTGTTTGACAGATAAACGAAGCCGGCATCTTGGAGCTGATGGTGTCTATTTAGATGACCTCACCGACATGGATCCAGAAGTTGCTGCACTTTATTTCCCCAAAAAGTATAACTATTTATTTGTATTAGACTATATGGCACCAATCGGCAAAAAAAAAAAAAAAAAAAAAACGAAGACTGAAAGCCTGTTTTTTTTTTTGTTTGTTTTTTTGTTTTTTTTCCCCACAGTGGTGAAAATATTGCACATGGAAAGAATGCAAATGAAAATGGACCACGGTCAGCCAATCAGTCCCCTCACTCTGGTGGAAGTTCAGGTGTTGATAGTGGCGTTGAAGGTGTCTCAGATGGAATGAGAGACTTGCCTTCAATTGCCATTTCACTCTGTGGAGGTCTTAGTGACAACAAAGAGATAACAAAAGGTACAGAATGACCCTGTACATTATGATTACATGTTGTTAGTGAACTCTCCACTCCTGTTAAAAGGGAAACAGTTCCCTCTTGTAGCTAGAGGTAGGTATTGAACGGTGAGGGAGTATGCAGCACTTGTCATTTGGATAAAAATAGCATCAGAAGTTCTAGGTATATTTATATTTGATTACAGTAAACTTCTGATAATACGACACCTTTAGGACCCAGAGGGTGCCAGATTATCAGATATGCCAGACTATCAGAAGGGGGGACTATGAGGGGTATAGGATGGGGTGGGGGGAATGCCACCCCAAACCCCTCATAGCCCCCCTTCCGATAGTCTGACTCTGCCCCAGGTGTCCCCGATTCAGCTGCTGCTGGTCAGTTTCAGCAGCGGCTGAATCTGGGATGCCTGGGACAGAGCAGCTGGGGTGCTGCCGGGTTGGTCCTGCCCCAGGCGTCCCTGATTCAGCTGCTGCTGAAACCGATCAG